CTTTGGGAGGCCAAGGCAGGTGGATCACTTGAGGCCAGGAGTTCAAGACCAGCCTGACCGACATGGCAAAACCCCATCTCTACTAAAAATTAGCTGGCCGTGGTGGTGCTTGCCTGTAATCCCAGTTACTCAGGAGACTGAGGCAGGAGAATCACTCGAATCCAGGAGGCGAAGTTTGCAGTGGGCTGAGATGGCGCCACTGCACTCCAGCCTGGGCAACAGAACAAGACTCTGTCTTAAAAAAAAAAAAAAAAAAAGAAGAAGAAGAAAGAATTCTTCATACTCTGTGCTGATAATGTATATTTTTCTATGTACATGTTATAATTAAATAATTTTACCTTAGAGAAGATAAGTGCTAACTGTGATAATGACTGTGCAGGAAATGCTCAGGTTTCAGGGCACTGTGACAGAGATTAGCTAGGGGAACATTACTGTAGACTGGATGGTCAGGGAAGCACTTCCCAGGATATGCTGGCTCGGCTGAATCCTAAGGGGCCAGCCATGGGGAAAACCAGAAGAACATCCCTGGCAAAGAGAACAGCAAGGGCAAAGGCTCTCAGGCAAGAAAAGTCGGGGCACAGCTGAGAAGTAAAAAAGACACCAGTGTGCTGGCTACCAGAGTGAGTAAAGAGCAGAGTGGAGCAAGTCAAAGTCAGGGTACGTCATGCAGGGCCTTGGAGGCCATTGAGTTTATCATCTGCCCCTTATCATTTGGCTCTTGTTTTTTGCAGGCCATGTGCTGAGATCTTGAGATATGTTACCTCATTTCCTTTTCATCTTTTTAGTAACTTTAGGAGGTCGGTTTTATCATCCAAATTTTTTAAGGAGGAACCAAGGCTTAGAGAAAGTAGCTTGCCTAAGGTCATCCAGCTTGGAAGTGAGTGGTATCACCAGGACTTGAACCTGCATCTCTTGGACGCCAAGCCTGTGCTCTCAACTCCTGACTCATGATTCTGGCTCTGAGCACTTGAGTTTAAATAAATAACTACTTCACCACATAAAACATGCACCCATAGGACTGTGAACAAAATGCTGAGAAAACAGCGACCTCCACCTGAGGAGTCTGGAAGGGAGGGCATGCACTAAATTTAAAGATGTGTACATGTGAAATGTCCCCAGAGGCAGGCATTCTCAAGGGAACAGTATGTGCAAACACTCAAAGATGAGAATTAGGGTGGGCACAGTGGTTCATGCCTATAATTCTAGCACTTTGGGAGGCCGAGGCGGGTGGATCACCTGAGGTCAGGAGTTCGAGACCAGCCTGGCCAACATGGTGAAACCTCATCTTTACTAAAAATACAAAAATTTTTAGTAGAGGTGCACACCCATAGTCCCAGCTATTTGGGAGGCTGAGGCGTGAGAATCACTTGAACCCAGGAGGCAGAGGTTGCAGTGAGCCGAGATCACACCACTGCACTCCAGCCTGGGCAACAGTGAGACTCTGTTTTTGTTTGTTTGTTTTTTAAAAAATAAAGATGAGAATGAATCATCACAGTAGCAAAGATGTATTGAGCATTCATCCTGTACTAAGTTCTGCAGTGAATATTTTGCTTATCTTGATCCTCACAACAACCCTGTGCGGTCAATATTGGCCCCGTTTTACCAATGAGAAAACTGAGCTTTAGAGAGGTTAGTCATTTGCCCAGGGAGACACGGCTAGTGAGTTGAGTAAATAAACACTAGGCTTGTTGAATTAGTGGTGAGAAAAGTAGTGAATTATAAACCAGTAGGTGGAAAAACCCAGACATAAAGTTCTGCCACTGCAGTGCATGCCCCCAACTCTCCTGCTGACAGCTTAACGTGACTAGGGAAGCAAGGGATGCTTTGTGTGGCTTTGTGATGTGTGTTCTCTGAACTTGACTAAAATTAATGTTCCTGAAGTTCCTTAGCTCCTTTCTCCATTGAGAGTTTTATATTCTGTAATTTCTTTTCTCTGAAATCCTGAATCATAATTTTATGTGCTTTTTTGTTTGCCTTTTCCTCTCCACTTAGACTATAAGATCCCTGAAGAAAAGCCCTTATTTCTTTTGATTCCTTAGTGCCCAGCCCTAAGAAATAATGGGTGAGATCAGGGGTTGTGTGTGTTGACCACTGAACGCTTAGTGTCTGGTGCAGGGCTGGGCAGAGGGTGGGTGCTCTATAAATTTTTTTTTTTTTTTTTTGAGATGGAGTCTCGCTCTGTTGCCCTGGCTGGAGTGCAGTAGTGCGATCTCCCACTTACTGCAAGCTCCGCCTCCCAGGTTCACACCATTCTCCTGCCTCAGCCTCCCGAGTAGCTGGGACTACAGGCATCCGCCACCATGCCCGGCTAATTTTTTTTTAAATATTTTCAGTAGAGACAGGGTTTCATCGTGTTGACCAGGGTGGTCTTGATCTCCTGGCTTCGTGATCCACCCGCCTTGGCCTCCCAAAGTGCTGGGATTACAGGCATGAGCCACCGCACCCGGCCAAATATTTCTTAACTAAATGAGTACCATGCTTATTTAAGGAAAGGTAAGAGAGATAATAGATTAGGCCTGGGTCAACAATCAATCTTGAACATTCATATGGTGTGTGCATAATTTTATTTCAATTACTTAATCGTTTAAGACAAAAGCGAGGTCTATAGGCCTCCATTCCTCTCCTGCCCTGTCATCCCACCCTACTCCCAAAATCACACAAAGCTGGTATTGCCACTGTTTTAGAAGGAATTCTGAGCAAGAAATCCTGTGAGATGCCTTGGTTGGTCCTATACTGTTAGGATTTGTGAACTAGATTAAGGCTGGTCTGCTTAAAATAAATTTATGTTATAGGTATCATTTTTATGAGCAAACCAACTGCTACCTAATATTTCAGTTCAAATGGTTTCAAGCACATAAAAAATAACTATGATTTTCTCTTCAATTTCACATCTCAGTATCCATGGGTCAGAGCAGGAAAGCTTAAGCAACTTAGAAATGAGTTTATTCCATGCTTTAGGTCTGAACTGGTCCAGTGCAATAGCCACTAGCCACTGTGGCTATTGAACACTTGCAATTTGGTTACTCTGAATTGAGATATGTTGTAAGGGTAAACTACACCGGATTCCAAAGGCGTAGCATTTTTTTTAACATAAACTGTCTCATTAATAATTTATATACTTATTACATGTTGAAACATTATTTTGGCTATACTGGGTTAAATAAAGTATATCAAAATTCATTTCACCTGTTTCTGTTTTTTAATGTGGCTACTATAAAACTTAAAATTATACATGTGGCTAACATTAAATAGTGGTGCCCTCAAATGTAACAAATATGAGTCTGATAACTTTCTAACCCCTTTTAATCTACCCTTGAGTTTACTCTTCCCCAACTTCTTCCAAAGATACAAAAATTAATGAAAGCACCCAGCTTCCATCTCTGTCACAAACAAAATTCTGTTTTGGTTTTGTTTATTGACTGAGTCAAAACTCATGCTGGCTTTGAGTCTCCTAAAGTTTTAAACTTTATTTTCTAATTATATTGACTCTAATGGTAAAATCACTTGGATTTATATAAACAGTTTTAATATTTTAAAAGAACTCATTATGTTATTGAATAACTATAACTATCCCAGGACAGTGGGTAATTAGAATCACCACTATTTTCCAAGTGAGAAAACTAAGGATGAGATAACATTTATTTAAACCCAGCCCTGATCCAGAAAGGCTGGCTCTTCACAGGTCAATGCAGAATATAAGTAGCTTTTCCCAGATGACATAGTGGCCAACAGAACTGGTACTGGACTGATCTTCTTACTTTTTCCACTAGAACAGTGGTTCTCAGATGTAATTTCTCATGATCAATTATAAAGCATAACTTTTTATAAAAAGTTTAACTTTTTCAGAGTTAAAAGTTTTTAACTTCTAAAACAGCAAAATTTTGGCTGACTTTTTAATATACATATTTTATATAAATTAGAACCAATGAAAAGATACCTGAAAATAACATGTCTTGCGTACACTCCATTCATTCATTCATGCAATCAACCCTGAGTGTCTGGCACATGTAACTGGCAGAGTTAGCTCTGCCCTGGGAAAACATCGATGAATAAGATAGCAAGAAAAGACACATCATGTAACAAATTTAATCATCATCAAGCAGTTAAATAAACAGTGTGCTGTGGAATCACAAAGCAGGAAGATCTGCCCCTAGCCTAGGGGCTGGGAAGGGCTTCATAAATTAGTGCTGCCTGCATTGATACCTGATGGATGGTGACAGAGAACCAGATAAGGGGTGAGGAGGAGGAATGAGTATGAATCTTTTAGGAATGTTTTCCTAGGAAAGAAACGTGGGATTGATAGGCAAGGAATTGCACATAACCTAGTACCCAAATTCTCTATGCCACAACCCAGAGGTGTATCCTGTACCCAAACATCGTCTGTCACGTGACCATGGATGTACCAACAACAATAAGGTTTGAAAACCACTGCATATGGTCATACTTCATTTATCAAGGTATTTCAGACCACCAGAGGGACATGTGCAGTGCTGTGCTTGCTATTATATGTTTAACAACCATCTCTCAGGAGAAAAAAAAACAAAAACTGTTTTGTAGTATTTGCCAATTTCCATGGTATAAATACTCCCACCTTGGCTGATATGAAGCTGCCAATAAGACAACACTGAGTGTGGAGCTGGGAAGAGATGGGTGGTAGCACTCCCTTATATAGAGTTTCCCTCATGCAAATACCATAGGTGTAAGTAACCTCAGAAGCGCTGAGAAAAGTGAAATGTGGTAAAATAACTAGGAGGCAATGAATTTTAAGTATTGAAAGTGTATTAACTTTGTTTTTAATATAATGTATTTATATTATTTTAAAATAATGGCTGTGTTTAACACTGGCTCACAGAAGTTTCCGCAGATTCCCTAATCAGCTTTCACACACTTGTACAAGCCAGCTCCAGTACACCAAAGGGCCTGGCATCTTCAGCATAAAACATCCATGATTCTTGTCTGGAACAAGTGCTCACATTCCCCTCTTTTTATGTTTCTTACAGATCAGCAAACAGCAGCTGCAGACAGTCAAGGACAGGTTTCAGGCTTTCCTCAATGGGGAAACCCAGATCATGGCTGACGAAGCCTTCATGAACGCTGTGCAGAGTTACTATGAGGTGAGAATCGCTGCGCGGAAGAACACCAAAGCTACTCAAGCCCTAGGCTTGGGGAGTCTGAGCTGCAGGGCAATGGGGACAATCGCTTTGGTTTACTACAAGATCACCCCTCCTAAGGCAAAGGGGTTGGTGATTGGTTACAATGTTAAGAAATAACAGTGTTTTGTTTCGGGGAAAACTAAACGTAAGCTACTATTTAACAACGGAGTTTTATACCCGACAATATACTGATTGTATTTCATACAAGATATAACAGTCTTATGAATTAGGTCTGATGGTATTTTCATTTTACTGATGAAGAGACTGAGGCTCAGAGACGTTAAATTAATTACTCAAGGTTACACAGCTATGAAAAATCACAACCTATGACTTTGAGTCAGGAGTATTTTTCTCACCACTTACACCATTTTTAAAGGATATTAGCACCTCCCAAGGATGATGGCTTCATGAACTTCCTTATTCTTTTTTCTAAACTGCTGCTTGTGTATCTGGAGCTGGGACCACTGTCCAAAATGCAGTGCCGTTCTCTAGAGAAAATCGACAAAAGAGAGAACATGTTCTGAATATATATTACGGGTAAATTGTCACCACTAGACCTCAGAAGTTTATCAGTAAAGTGGATTTGTATTTCTGCAAATATTTTTAAATTTTATAATTGTTCTTTCTTAGTGTGTATATTGGCTATTATTTGTACATGATTATGAAATGGACATGCCAAACCTTCATATTGGCAATGCTTTCCTCATATACATATTTTCAAATATGATTATTTGGTCACTGAGTGACATTTTATTTTATATTAATCTATTTTAATGTGAACCAGGTAAATTCTCTCTGTGTTTGGAATCCATGCCCCAAATGTCTGATGTGTTGTAAAGGCTAGATGACAACCATTAGAGCCCAGCTCCTAAGCACTGAAAGGTTATGATATCCTGCTATATACAATTCACAGTAATAATGATAAACCTTAAGCTAAGTATAAGGAAAACCTAACAAAATCTGATTTTCCCCCAGGATTGTTTCACTGATTTCCTTCCTTCCTTCTTTCCTTTATTTATTAGATAGAAAATTATCTCAAAACAAAAATGTTGGTGTGCCTACTTTGCTGGTGCTCTAAGTATGTACTTAGTCTCCCCATCTGATTCAGCCCACAACAGATGCTTTCAATATGTTAATTGATTGAAGCCTCAGTAGAGGCAAAATCCTGATTTGGCAAAACTCTTCTTCCCACTTGCTAAAGCACTTGACTCCTTCCTTCATGGAGAGAGTAAGACTGCAATTAGATCTTGTGAATTTATTATTGATTGGTTTGCTAATTAGCATTTAATAGTAAATAATCTTCGTGATGTTTCCTGGGACCAACCACAGACTCCTTTTACACACTATTTTCTTCATGAAATTTTTATTTGGATCTATTTTAGAAGTCAAATTTGTTTTTACAGTTGTCCAAATTTAAATCTTTAAAAATTTTACAAGTATCATTCATTATCACCAATGAGTGTCAAACTTGCTGCTTTATCTGATGTGGTACAATTTTTTGGTTGAATTTCATGCGGAGTAGAAATGAGATTTGGAATCACAGTGATATATGATAGTGAATAACTTGAATATATTTAACAAAGGTTTTGTTTAGAAACTGCCCGGGAATGAAATTAATTTTCCGTCTTTGTTCAAGTTCTGAAAGCCAGTGGGAGAGTAATGGCAGAAGCCTTGTCAGGCCAAGCAGACCCCTATCAATAGTTCTCCATATTTAGAGTCATTCACCAGAGTTTATAAATTTATAGATTGCAAATCTTAATTAGAAAGCTCATTTGACTAATGGCATAAATTAAAAGAAAGTGTCATTTCCATCTATTAATTAAATGTGAAAATTAATAGTCATCAACGTGCTAATGAGTCTCTGGAAATTACCATTACATCTATAGTGATCCCAATGTTTTCCTCTATAGTGGCTAGTTTATTTGAAACAGTTTCTGTTTTTGTCTGGTAAGAATACAGGCATTGAGAAATGACTGAATATTTAATGTTAGCATTTGAGTAGCATAAGAAAGGATGTGGGGTATTAATGATCTAACTGCTGTCTTCATTAGGAAATACTTTGCAGAGCCTTAGATTCACTTTTCCAGGGAAGTCTAATCCTCTGAAGTGAAGGTTCTCTATCAGGAGATCAGGGTTAACACTTTACTTGGGAGCTCTCCAAGTTGATTACACCTACCTTTCTCCTTTCCCCTTCATTCTTGGGCTACGGAGAAGCTGGTGTCTCTTCCTCTACCCAACTCTGGGTTCCAATTGCTTCTCTGTTGGCCCCTGTCTTAGTCAGGACTCTTTGGATTATAAGTGACTGATACCTAGGTCATACTGGATAACCCTAAAAAGACATTTATTTCCTCAAGTAACTTTAAAGTCCACAAGTAGGCCTGGATTCAGCCATGGCTGGATCTAGAGGCTCCAAAGTTACCAGCGGGATGGATATCTGCCCCGCACCTCTCCACTGTGCTCATCCCTGTGTTGACTTCCTTCTTGGTCAGCTTCTCTCCATGTGGAAGACCTTAGCAACCCCAGGGCACATCCTACCAGTTCAGCAACTCTAGTAGCAAAGAGAACACCCCTATGGAGCTCCCTAGCAAAGACCTGGGGTGACTTAGTTGGACTGACATGGATCATTTGTCCCTTCTTAAATCAATCACAGCGGATGGGGGTGAAATGGACTTGGGGGATAAAGCTTAGGACAGCCACCATCTCTGGCACCTGAGTACAGTCTCAGCCCCAATGGAACCATTTTCAGGAAGAATGTAATGGTTTCTTAATAAAACATTAGGCTGCTTTTTACCAAAACGGGGGTAATATATGCTCAGCAGACAAAACCAACAGATATCCTCCTTCCAAATTCTCTCTCTTTCACATACACACACACTCCACCCTACAATGCCACAACTTCACATTCCAGTTTACCAACAACAATGACATTACAAAATAGTGTAACAGCAGTAATCTCAAAATGTTCTAGGATTTCTGTACTTTTAAAAAGTCAGTTTTTGATATCGGTCTTGTTTTGCTAAGGCAGTATATTCATTACTTGGTATTCACAGAGCATTAGTTCCAGGACTTCTCAAATACAAAATCCTCAGATGCTCAAGTCCCTGATATAAAATAGCATAGTATTTATATATAACCTATGCACATCCTCCCATATACTTTTTTTTTTTTTTTTTTTTTTGAGTCAGGGTTCCTTCTGTCACCCAGGCTGGAGTGCAGTCATATAATCACAGCTCACTGCAGCCTCAACCTCCTGGGCTAAAGTGATCCTCCCTCCTCAGCCTCCCATATAGTTGGACTACATGTGCATGCCACCATGCCAGACTAATTTTTGTATTTTTTGTAGAGAGAGGGTTTTGCTATGTTGCCCATGCTGGTCTTCACCTCCTGGGCTCAAGTAATTCTCCCACCTCAGCCTCCCAAGTAGTCAGGACTATAGGTGCATGCCATCATGCCAGACTAATTTTTATATTTTTTTTGTAGAGAGAGGGTTTCGCTATGTTAACCAGGCTGGTTTTGAACTCCTGGGCTCAAGTAATCCACCTGCGTTGGCCTCCCAAAATGCTGGGATTACAGGCATGAGCCACCACACCTGGCCTTCTTCCTTATACATTAAATCATCTCTAGATAGCTCATAAAACCTAATACAATGTAAATGCTATGTAAATTATTGTCATACTATATTGGTTTTATTTGTATTCCTTTTTATTGTTATTTCTTATTTTTTATATTTTGGATCTGTAGTTGGCTGAATGCATGAACGTGGAATCTGCAGATACAGAGGGCCAAGTGCTGCAATGATCTCTCAGCATGCTACAGTAGGAAAGATCACCTTTTAATAAATGAAAAGAGAGAGGAGGTGCTATTCCTTTTCCATCTGTGCTCATCCAGCCCAGTCTGAGCAAAACTAGTCACCATTAACAGCAAGTTGGTGGGGCCTGGGCCATGAGTGGGGATGGGAGAAAGGAGACCAAGGTCCCTATGGCTCTCAGGAGCACACAGGTTTATTTTTGTCCTTTCCTGATGGCCCTGATTGTCAGAGCGGATCAAGCAGGGCAGCAGATTAATCCATTAATCTCTTCAATTCTGGCTTTCAGGGCCAAAGGCTGGGGGCTGGGGTGGGTGCTCTGAGATCTGGCCCAGCAATTCTGTCTCACACCCCTGTTCCTGAGATACGGCATCAGAGAGCCATTTCTCTGTGTTCCCCACACCTTTTCTAACTATTTTTAAGACAAATGTCCAAAATATAAGCCCTCCCTCTCTCCCTGCCTCCCTCCTCACACTCACCTCCTCGTGCTCACCTCCTCACCTCCCTGCTTGATTTTAATTTCTTCACATGCCGGTCCTGGCATCAGAGAAAACAGGTGGATGAAAAAGTTTTACAAAACTCAGATTCTTCCTGGAAGTGAACATGGGGGTATTTGCAAGAAAGTGGGAGTGTCAAATGTGGCAGAAGACATAAAAATTCATTTCAGGACACTGCATCTGATGTCTGAACTTCAGCCAGTGAAGCTGCTATGATTGAGCTTTGTTTGGGTTATGTGTGTTGTTTTGTTTGGTTGTTAATTTTTTGTTGGTTTTGTTTTGTTTTGTTTTTGTTTTTTAATAAATGCCAGTTCATTTTTGTCAAACTAGCTTTGAATGTTGCAACAGACCGAATTCTTTAGTTGCTAGCAACAGAAACCAACTGTGGTTAAATTCAGCCCTAATCATCATCATCATCCTAACAACATCAGAAGCAACAACAACAAAAACAATAGTTTGCTGTTGTTGCTGGTATTGTTGTTATCAGAAGAAACAGCTAAGCGTCAGAAAAGAAGGAAACCAGAGCAGCTTAACTTCAGGAAGCCAGACAGTAAGATATAACAGACACTTCATCATTGGGATAAATCTACTCCAGCCCAATCCATTCTCATGCCAACCCACTCAGAATGTGAACTCAAGAAGTAGCGGTCTTATTGACC